TGAACTACCTAACCACCAATGTTTTAATCCAACTATGTCTTTATATTTATCCTTAATAATTCATATTAATAGATTCTGACCAAAATTCTAGCTGTTGCAATGTTTTTTTTTAAATCTTCATTTCAATGTGTTATTTACCCATATATGCATATTAAACTTTTGTTGATATACTGATAGAAAGGTTAAGAAGCATGAAGTCAAATACAGATCCTTGGGACACTTCACTGGATACCTCCATTTAGGTTGACATGGAACCATTAATCACTACTTTTTGAATTTGGAACTCAAAATTTTTTTTTTAAAATTGAATGTTAAGACTTGTTTTTATGTGTAATTGGAGAAATATTAAAAAAATTAAACTAAAAAAATTACTACTTTTTGGATCTGACTATTCAACCAGTTTGGAACATCTCCATCTTTACTATAATATAGCCTACAGATCTATATCTTGTCTCCAAGGTTTGCATAATAAACTTTGTTAATTTGTTATTAACCTGACAACTATGATTGCTTCTCTTGATAGTTTAATCTCTCTATGGACACATTGCAATATCATTGAATTTCTCAAAAAGGCTAAGGTTAGTGATAAATAGTTTATTTCCACATGGTGTTTCCCTGACTTTGACAGTATGTGTTATGCTTTCTGGTGGAGGCAGAACGCCTATTTGTATCAAATGATGTGTACAACATCGGTGATTAAAACAAGTGTGGCTTCATGACCATGTGGCCATGAAGCACATACCAGTTTTTAAAATTTCTATACACTCAAACTGGGTAGCAGAGTTGAGGGCCAAAAGGATCTTAGTAGACTAGAGTAATGGTTCTTAAAGTGTGGTCTGGAGACCCCTGGCAACTCCTGAGACCCTTTCAGGAGTTTGTGAGTTCAAAACAGTTGTCATAATAATACTGACATTTTAATTTCTAATAACAATATGTATATTTAGAACTCATAAACAAAAGCTCTTTGGAGTCTTCAATGATTTTTAAATATATAAAAGAGTAAATGACCGAAAAATTGGTGTAGATCATTGGGCTAGATACATTAAGAAGAAACTTACAATTGGGTACATGAATCCACTTCTTAAATATAAGATGGTGAAGATATGAATAACAAGGGTTCTTAAAAGGATCGGAGGATTTTAGTGGACTCCAAGCTCATAATGAACCAGAGACGAGATGTATTGGCAAAAAAAAGCTAATGCATTCTTGAGCTACATTAGTAATGGCATAACTTTCAAGCGTAGGGGCCATATAATCCTACTATATTCTACCCTTATCAGAACTCATTTGGAGTATTATTTTCAGTACTGGGCAAAGTGATTTAAGAAAGACATTGATAAGTTGGAGAGTGCTCAGAGGAGGGTAACCAGGATGGTAAGAGCTTTGGGTTCATGACATGAAGATCAGTTGAAAGAACTGAACATGTTTTGTCTGGAGAAAAGAAGACTTACAGGGAACATGATTGTTATCTTTAAGTATTTGAAGGGCTGTCATGTAGAGAAATTGTAAGGTTTGCTTTCTTTGGTTACAATGGGCAAAACCAAGCACAGTGAGTGGAAATTGCAAACAGGCCAATTTTGGCTTGATATTATGGAAAACAAACAAAACTTTCTAACAAGTAGAGCTTCCCTTGGAGGTGGGGTTTGCCTTCCAAGAAGAGACTCTAAGTTAAGTGGTTCTAGGGGGTTGCTGTGGTAACTGGGATGGCCACAGAGGCCCCTTCAAACTCTCAAATTTTGATTCTGCTCTATCATCACAAGACCATTTTCAAATGGGTGCACAAAGTTTGGCTTCCCAGATAAACACTATATGTATACCACTATAGTAGAACATTTGAAAATGATTTCTTAGTGGTCAGTGACTCTTCTAGTTATGAAACCACAAAGTCTGGATAAATCACATGTCTAGAATCATTTGTCTTTATGGAAATCCCTGCCTTACCATTTTAACTTTATTTATCTGTATGTAAATAAGATGTACCTACTAAAACTTTAACTTCTTTTAGTATTTCCACCATGCCACCAATGCCTCATGAAGAGTCCCTCCCACCTTGACTTAGCCTGATTCTCACTACTCTTCTTATGTAATTATGTGTTGTTTTTTTCCCTTCTTCTTGGAATAATGGTTTTGACTAATTATTGTGCCAACCAACTAATATATTGAATGGATACTTATTAAAATGTAAAATACTGTGCCCAAAGGAGTAGAAACCTTATTGCCCGAGATATTTTAAATAGGTTCGATTAAAGCATTAGTTCACTGCACTGATAAAATCACAAAAAATTCATTGATGAAATCCCTGTTCTCATCAACATGACACCAGCCCCCCCTCCTGAAAAAAGAAAAAGAATACATGGATGCCAATTCAGTGACTAGCTGTGCTTTTTCTGAACAACATCTAGTGAAGACAAGTGCTTCAGTTAGGCAGTGGATGCGTTCTCCACCAGGTTCCTCTCATTTGAAGAAATGTAGTTAAAACTCACTGTCTATTAACCACATGGAGATCATATTGTCCATGTATTCTGAACCAATTACTGGATGAAATCCTAATATAATTGAAAATGGATTGTAGCTCATAACCTTCAGGGGCTGATAGCTTGGGGGAAGGGCCAAAAGAGGACTATCTTCATTTCTTTGGGTAGACAGTGAGTAGATATACAGTTCAGTCACTGAAGAGCTCCTAGACTAAAAATTATCACTGAACCCTACCAAATGTACAATTTTTCTGTCAGATGAGAAAAAAAAGAAAAGAAAAAGAAAATGAGAGAAGAAAAGAAAGGAAAGGAAAAGAAAAAAAAAACCTTTCCAGCTACCATCCATCCATCATTATACCTTCTTATATACACTTAGGTTGTCAGAGTCTTTATGTCTGTCTGTCTTCTTTCTTCCTTCCCAACCTTACCCCTAAACCCCTACTAGTGCTTTCTAAAAGCTCCTATACTATGAAAGTGTTTTCCTGCCTTCTAACCCCTATAAGCTGAAAACATACACGACAGCTGGAATAGAAAAATATACAATCCCCTAATGCCAGACACATCTGCGGATCTCAGCATCTTTTAGATGACATTAAGTTACCCAAGGGTCCATATTGCTCATCCTCTGCCTGATTCACTGCCAGTAGGACATTCCACAGCATTAATCCAATTGATGGCCTGTCTACCTCGAGATTTTCAATCCATTGATTTTTTTAAACTACCTACTGGCTTCGTGCATGACCATCACTTCATTCCATATTTCTTGATGGTTAAGCAACATGTTCTATATTCTTTAGCTGAAGTACTGTTCAACCAATTCTTTAGTGCATTAAATCAAACAAAATTAAACATATGTGCTGACACAAACTAAGAATTTTCTTGTTGTTATTCAGTTGTTTCAATCATTTCTGACTCTTTGTGACCCCATTTGGGGTTTTCTTGGCAAAGATACTGGAATGGTTTGCAATTTCCTTCTACATCTCATTGTTACAAATGAGGAAACTGAGGCAAACAGCATTAAGTGACTTGTCACTGGTCACACAGTAAGTGTCTGAGACCAGATTTGAATTCAGGAAGATGAGTGTTCCTGATTCCAGGCCCAACACTCTATCTACTGCACCACTTTGATGCCCAAAACTAAGAATACCATAAATTAAATAATTGTAAAATGTATTGATTGTTATACAAAGTAGCCTTTTCCACTCATGATGAGCTCAGATTAAGCACCTGAAATAATCATTTTACAGGACACTATATGTCATTCAACCAGTTTACCTATACTTTTAGGAGGCATTGTTCATGTGAGATGATATAACAACTCCAAATTTAAGGCATATGAAGAACCCATCTCTCATAAGCCATATATAAAATCAGTAACTCTGAACTCCCCCAAAGTAGGACAAATTGAAAAGATAATACACACAGAAAAAAACTTAAATCAATAACATATCTATGAGAGCCAAAAAAACCTGTATTAAGTGCAGTAATACTGAAAAAAGGTATCAAAATGACTGAACTTTTGTCTCTCATGTGTAAAAAGGGAGAATCTCAAAAATGAAAATATGTAAAAGTTGAATCGATTAATATATATTAGGAAGAGTGTTCATAGTCAAAACAGTTGTGATTAAGAAACCTCTGGATTTTTGTAATAAAAATTATATCCAAAATGTTCTAACAGGTTTACCTAGTAGGGCAAAATCAGTCTTTAAAAGAAAATAAAGGCAGCATTAGGGCATTCATTTAAAAATGAGATTTATCCTTCTCTAACCTCTAGCATAGGGGTTCTTAACTTTAATATAGGTCATAGACCATTTGGCAGATGGTTATAGCCTACGAATCTCTCAAAATAATGTTTTTAAGTGCAAAAATAAACTACACAGAAACTGATTTTCTAGGAAATATAGTTGTCAAAAATATTTTTAAAACCTATTTCACAATCTCCGGGTTAAAAATTCTAGCTCTGCTAGTTGTAACAAGGTCTGAGTATATTTTTAACCCCCCTCCCCATTTTCTCACAGTTTTGCTTAAACAATTATACCAAGCTGACATTTTACCTACTGTGAGAAGCCTTTGCCTCATATACAGCTCAGCTATATAGTAGGGAAGCCTAATAGGTGAGTGGTAATTCACATGAGGAAAGACAATAAAGTAAAATCAATTGCCCCTTCCTTTCAGTTTAAGTAGACATTTCATGACCTACAAAGGCAACTTTCCTAGTTATGATGATTAAAAATGGAAGAGTTTAAAGTTTTTGTGTAAGGAATAAAAATTGATGCCATAGACTAACTGCTGCAGACTGAAGGTTTTGATTTTGAAACAGGCAAAGCAAAGCACTGTGTGAAAGATTTATACAGAGAATCATCAAAGGTTCGTATAAGTGTTGGAGCTTAATGTGATTATGGGTGTATTCTGATTTTCTGCTGGCTGAAAGTGGGTGTCTTTAATGAATCATCTGTATGTATAAAATGCAGTCTCATAAGTCAACTGAATCTATAAGCCAGATATCATTTGCTTAGGCTCTTTTATAAGGTCTTCAAAAATTTAGATGAAATGTGTCTTGAATTCATTTTACATTTGTTCTCATTGTTGTCATGAGACAGACAGTTCTTCCAAACAGGAAGACACAATAGCAGTGCATATCTAAAGTGTATGTCCTTTTGCATGAATAAATGGTATGATTTCTTAAAAAGTGCTAATCTCCCTAGAAGGTGTTGCTTTGGCTAGTAGTCAGGAATTCCTTGAGGACGCAGCTATAGTTTTTCTCCTGGTGCTTCTAGTTATCAGCAGAAACCAGCTGGGGAGTTCTTTTTCTGAGTCCCTTCTTTGAGTTGAGAAAGGTTTTATAGAATGTCTAACTAGAACAAGCTTAGTTGATTTTAAACAGAGTAGGTGGTAGCATCTTGCAAAGCTCCTTCCAAATTCCTTTTCTCAGCTCTATTGACTCCAACGATGAGAAGCACCCCAATTCCAGAGGTGGGCAGTTGATGTCAATACATTGTGTGTTACCATGGAGATGGCTGTTGTTTTTGTTCATCACTCACTTTTGCATTACTTTTTTTTTCCCAAAAAAGAAGATGGTGGATTGGAAGGGATAAAGTATTGAGTGCCCAGTAAATGTGCAAAGACAGCTTTGTTACAATTTCAATTGTCATCTTTTTTTTTTTAATGCTTTTAGAAAGTTTATATTTGTGTTCTGAACTTTGGAATTTATCACTGGTGTTTTCTTAAGGCATGTGAACTGTTAGCTGAAATTGTGTATCTTTAGCCTTTTTATGAGATTTTGAAAGGGAGGCAGCTTTAAAATTATAAAGTTAGAACAGGAAGTATAAGATATAGGTTTTGTTTTTTCTGCTCTTCTTATGTTGTCTGTGGCATTGAGGATGATACTTAACCTCTGCATCAGTGGTGTGCTGTCTAGGGGGAAAACACAACAGAAAAAAAAAAACCAAAACAAAAAAATGAGAATATTTAATGATAGCAAAAGTGCCTAGATATCATCACATATAAAAGTAACTATCTATGTATGGTAAATGTAAATTTGTTAGTATTTATATCCATTGCTTATAATGGGAAGCTTAAAATGTTTTAGAAGCATCATTCTATTCTCAATAGCATCTCTGGGGTACTGTTCTGTTACAAGGATTATGATTCCTTATTTATATTTCAGTGTTTAAATGGATTCATTGTCTTATCTGTATGATCACCTCCTAAGGTTTATATCAGAACCCATACATGCCTCCTTATCCCGTATGATTCTTGTCCATGTTTTCCCATAATGCCTTTGTGGATAATTTACCCACAATGTACTGAAGGCTTTCCTCTAGATATCTTAATGTTCCACAATTAGCGCAGCATTCAGGCTTTTATCAAGCTCTAGCTACATGCATAGCATATGTTCCTTTCTCATCAAAGATGGCCTGGATGATATCTTTTTTTGCTGACTTCTTGTGTGTAAGTCATCATTAACAAAATATCAACCCCTAATTACATCTACCACGTATTTCTCCATTACTCTTTGGTTCCCCTGAAATTTTGATTCTTTGAAAAATATGTTGTTTCATAATTCATATATATACAGCATCATTGGAAAAATATTGAGGTTAAAATATCTTGCTTTTTTATATCAAGAATCAGCATAGGGGCAGCTAGGTTGCTCAGTGGATAGAGCAGGGAGAAGGAGAGAGGGACAGAGGGAGAGAGGAAGAGAGGAAGAGAGGAAGAGAGGGAGAGAGGGAGAGAGGGAGAGAGGAAGAGAGAGAGAGAGGGAGAGGGAGAGGGAGAGGAAAAGGGAGAGGGAGAAGGAAAGGGAGAGAGAGTGAGAGGGAGAAGGAAAGAGAGAGAGAGAGAGAGAGAGAGAGAGAGAGAGAGAGAGAGATTGCCTGATGCTGATGTGCCAAGGATATCTTCAGAGTACAAAGTACATCAGCAGGCTCTGGCCATGCTAGTTGTGGAATAACAAACTAGACCTTCTACTGCTAAGGAAATATATAATTAGCTCATCTTAAAGCAGAAAATAGTCAACTCCTTGTCCCAGGAGTGTTTGTAAGTCATGTTGGGACATAGTGAGTCTCAGGAAAAAGCCGCTAATTACAAATCTCCTGAATAGATGATGGATCATAGAGCAAAGCTTTTGTTTATTCATTTGCTGCATATGCTTAATCCTAAACTGGACCATCCCTGTTGTCCAATACATTTTTAGCACCCTAGAATAATACTAACTTTCCTCATTAAACAAAAAAAAACTTGACAAAGAATACGGCTAAAATTATCAACATTACATAATTTATTTGTTTTTAAATAAAGATAGGTACTAAACCTGAGAATTAAATGTCATATTAGGGAAAAAAAATCACATCTTTTCTGAAACATATTCCTATAAAGGTTACATAACTTGCTCACCGTCAAATAGCCAGTTTGTGTCAGAAGTAGGGCTTGAACCTGCTTTCGGTGGGTTTTCCTAGGTAGGAGGCTGGTTCCCTATCCCTTTATCATGCCATAGAGGGTGTGAATAAATGAAGCCTGAAAGTCATATTCCTCTCTACAGGTTTAAAATAGCAGTAGGAATAGAATTATTTTCTACATTTGCTTTTTGGAAAGTTGATATCCTCCTCACACACTTATGATTACTTTTTTTATTTCTTAAAACAACAACAATAACAACAACAGTGGTGTCCATTCTGAAGTAAATAAAACATCAAAACCCACGTAAGATGTGGACATGGAAGCTTTTTAATATTCTGTATTCTTTTATTCTGATCATCTTAATTCAAATTTTTAACCTATAAATCTAATTTGGATATTTCTATTACATCTCAATATATACATATACATACATACATACACACACACACACATATATATATATATATATATATATATATATATTATATATATATATATTATATATATATATTCTTTATTTTTAAATGTAGGTTAAAAAATACACTCTGCTGCCTTCCATCCCTACCCTATCTTGTGTCCTTGGGGAGAGTCACAACCTCAATGGGCCTCAGTTTCCTAATCTTTAAAATGAGGGATTTAGATTAGAAGATCTATAAAGTACCTCTTAACATTAAAGCTATAATACCATGATCATCTCTCTCTCTCTCTCTCTCTCTCTCTCTCTCTCTCTCTCTCTCTCTCTCTCTCTCTCTTTCTCTCTCTCTCTCTCCTTACATTTATTGTCGGTGTTTATCTTTATCTCTATATTTATGCCTATGCCTATGCCTAGCTGTATATATCCCTTTAGTTTGGATTTTGCACGTAAAATTCTATAAGGAAGGGCAATGCACTCAAATGGCTCTGTCTCTGTCTGTCTCTCTCCCTCTGTATACACACATACATTTATATACACGCACACATATATGTGTATGTATGTCTATTGTGTTAATCACTTATCAATTTTATCCCCTTTTATAGCATATCAATCTCTTTAGTTCTTTATTTTTGTTGAAAAATTCTTTCAGATCTTTTTTGAATTTTAAGTATATTTTCAAAAAATGATTAGGGTTCTATGAAATGCCATTTTGAAGTTTATCTAGGATAAAGTGTGATAATTGTCTTTTTTTTAAATACAGATATATTTTCACAGGTTCTGATTCATGGCTATAGGGAAAGATAAGAGAAAAGGGAAAATACATCACATTTTGGCATAACAAGTGGTCAGTCTGCATGGACTTTACTTGCCTTTCCTTATAGAATTTTATTTTCACTCAGAACACTTCATAGGTTCAGCTTTCAGTAGCCTGTTTTTGGTATCAGTAATGACCAAGAGGTCCATACTGTGTGTGTGTGTGTGGGGGGGGGTGCGTGGTGGTGGTAAAGAGGCAATTTAAAACAGCCAACAGGATAGCTTATGTGAATATATGAAGAATATGATCCTGCCATTATCAGAATCTCCTGGTGTGGGAGCTCTGATTATGCAGTTTTCAACTTAAAAAAAGACTTTGTAGATAAGTATTAGGTGGTTGATTGAGGTCTAGAGAAGAAAAGTAATTTGCCCAAAGTCATAAAAATATTAAGCTTTGGGGGAAGGGATTTGTGACTTCTTCACTGCAAACACAATAGTGTACTCCTCACACCATATTAGGGGTAGCTAGGTGGCACAATGGATAGAGCGCCAGGCCTAGAGTCTGGAAGACTCATCTTCCTGAGTTCAAATCTGGCCTCAGACACTTACTAGCTGTGTGACTTGGGCAAGTCACTTAATCCTGTTTTTCTCAGTTTCCTCATCTGCAAAATGGCCTGGAGAAGGGACTATGAAACCACGCCAGCATCTTTGCTAAGAGAACCCCAAGAGGGGTCATGAGGAGTCAGACACAATGAAAATGACTGAACAATAGAAAAATATTCAAGGCACCATGCTAGGTACTTAAAACACAGAGACAAAAACAGAACAAGCCCCTTACCCCAGGGAGCTTACAAATTGTTTTGGAGAAAAAAAGGCAAATGAGTGAAAAATGACTGAAATAGCAACACACCATATTGACTCTGTGACAACATGGGAGGTTTTGTGGTAAATAGGCAATAGTCCTGGATTTGTAGTTAGAAGACCTAGGCTGAAGTTCAGACTTTCCCATTCCCTGCCTCACTTTTTTTTTGGCTCTATTGGTACATTGGCCCAAAGTTGACAGTGGAAAGAGTAATGATGGGAGTCTGATGGCCTTGGTTCAGATCTCCCCTCTGATGCTAACTACATGTGTAACCATGGACAAATCACTTGTTGCTACTTCCTTTCATCATTTGTAAAATGAAGGGATTGGACAGTAGATGAATTCTCAAATTCCTTCCAATCCTAGATCTATGATCCAAAGAGAACAAAAACATTGCAGACAAGGCAACATGATAGAGAAGGTTGCTTTCATAAATATTCTGTCTGTACACAAGTATTTGCCCATAATTTTTACCTTTAGTACTTTTTCAAGTCATGAATCAGAAGGCATTTATGAAGTGTATGTTATATGTCATTTGGTTTTTTAGTCATTTCAATTGTATTTGACTTTTTGTGACCCTATTTGGGGTTTTCTTGGCAGAGATACTGGAGTGGTTTGCCATTTTCTTTTCCAGGTCATTTTACAAATGAGGAAACTGAGAAAAACAGGGTTAAGTGACTTGCCCAGGTTACACAGTTAGTAAATGTCTGAGGCCATATTTGAACTCAGGAAAGTGAGTCTTCCTGACTCCAGGCTTGGCACTCTATCCACTGTGCCGCCTAGCTGCCCCAATTATATGTCAAACAATGTGCTAATGCCTGTTTATAGAAAAGCAAACAGTCCCTTCCTTCGAGGAACTTATAAGGTAACAGATAGCATGTATATTCTTAGGTCTATATAAAATAGCTAGAGAGTAGATGGATTGTAAGGTTAGTGGGGAGGGTGCTAGCAACTGGGAGGTTAAGGAAAGATTAGGAAAAAAAATGGAATTTGAGCTGAGCTTATAAAGAAGTTGGTGTTCCAAGAAGAGGAGCTGAAGATGAAGGACCTTTCAGGCAACAGGGGAATGGGTGCAAACACATGGAGAATAAAGTTGGAGTGTTGTGTGTGAAGAGCCACAAGTTGTCCAGTATGGTTGGGCCATCGCAAAGCATAAGCAAGCAAATAATTCATAAAAAGATACAAAGGGCCAGGTTTAAAGAAGTTTAGATGACAATAGAGGACCTTATATCCCAGAAGTAATAGGGAGTCACCGGTACTGATTGAGTCCTATCAGACTTGCACTTTAGGAAAATCACTTTGGTAGCTTTGCAGACTGGCTAATGTCACCGTGTCACCATACTGACAGACATAGGGCTGACCTTGTTGCTGACATCTGTGACCCTCTGGCATCACCTGAATTGTCCTTGAGCCTCTCCTACAAATTCCTGTGCTCATCAGGGAAATTTGTTTATATATCATCTTTTGGGATTTTCAACATCCTGTCAAACAACAGCATCAGGAGTGTGGGGCTGTTTCAGTTATTTCCTATTAATGCTTCGAGTTCAAATAGAGTGTCAGGATGAATAAGTGCTGTGGATTTGTGGAAGGCTTTAATGTTGCCTCATTTCAAATCACTTCATATGCAGCCTGGTAATGAGTTCAATAAATTCTGTTGGAGGGGGAAAAAAAAAGCCCTCCACTCTACCAAAAAAAAAAAAGTAGGTTGCTATTTTATAATTAGCCTTCTGGGCTGTGGGAAGGAGTCTTATTTCCTTTTTGAAATCCACTTTGTTAGCACTGTGATGTGGAGATGGCTAAATGAGTATGAAATATTATAATTAAGGACATCACAAGCTGTTTATCTTATCAGCAGTGTTTTTCCTTAAAGGCTGTCTTGTTGACCACTTGTGTATTACCACGGCTTTTCTTTGTCTTGCCAACTGTAAAAGACAGAGCTTCATCTAGCACTGTGGGGAAGTAGGGAAGCTAGCAGCAATAGCAAAAACAACCGGGACTCAAGCAACACCTCAAATTGGTTTCATTCTGCTGGTTTCAGGTCTTCTTTTCATTAACTATAATAGGCTGTTTGTTTAGAAAACAAAATGAGTTTATGAAAACTTGCGATGCTTAGAGTTTGGGGCCTGCCGGTGGGGGTCTGTCTTGGACATCCTGCCAAGCAGAATGTTTTTGTCTCGAGGCAGACACAGAAAACCAATCCTGCTGTTGGAAAATGAGAACTGGTATGTTATCGATTGGGTGGTGAGTAAATGGTCTGATCTGTAATCTCGTCTATGAGTTTAAAGGCTTGATATTATGATAATCTTTTGACCCCACAGATTTCTTATTTTTGTTCAATAAAGTGGCCTGGTTGGGGCCTACAATAAGCTTTGTCATAATAGAGTGTAATGAAGATTCTCACCGGCTTGCGCTGAAAATGTCTGGGCAAGAATTATAGTCTTGGTGAGTCATTTGGCTGGATAAAAATATTACACAGTATATGCACAAATGTTGGGTAGAGGTTTTGTGTATTTTTTCAACTACCACCTATCTAAATGTTTATTTAAAAAATAAATTTGCTCGTCCTAAAAAACTCAATAAATGTTATTGCCTTATAAAAAAAATCCTTTATATTATCTGGACACCAAAGCCAACACAAAGCAAGATAGGAAATAGACCAAACATATCTGCCATATGGCCATACATCAAGGATCTGTGATGAGAATTCCCTCCATGAAAGCAAAAAAAAATTTAAAACTTAATAAATTCTTCTAAGAGAATCACCTGAGGCTAAGAGATGTGGAGTGACTTGGTCATGGTAAAAAATTATAGTCATGCTCTAAAGTAACTTGACAGCTAGAAATCTTCCCAGTTATGTCCTCTATGGAAGTTTCCATGGTTTAGATAAAAGCAAGTGAAGGATTATCAGATTAGTGAAAAAAAGTAATTCTGAAGATTGATCTACATAGAAAATGCTCTGTCTCATGTCTTTCAAATTCAAATGTATATCATCAGTCCATAAGAATTAACATTAGCAGAAAGTAAAGCAAGATCAACAATGAGGCAGTATTACCAATAACTGCTTTGGTTTTTCCCTCAATCCTTTTTGTTTTTAATTTTCTGTTAATATTCCCTGTATTTCTATAAGATGATGAAGTGAAGGGGGACTTGAAAAAATTTAGTTTGAGACTCACCAATGAGTTAAAATAGCACATTGCAGTGAAATCTTACTTATTGAAATACAACTACAGTTGTACTGTTGTACTATAAAGATCAATCAATTAAGCATTTATTAAATGCCTACTGTGTGCTGGGGATGCGAAAACAAAAATGAAATAGATGAAAGATCTTAGTTGAGTATCTCACATCTTGTCTGTAGGATATCAGAGAAGATTCTGTATGGCAATTGAAGCAAAAGACTGAGAATTAGTGTGGATAAAGGAAGGATACTAGGTATCCATGAAAGCATGATATCAAACAACAGGAATATATGTATATATATATTCTGGAAAATAACAACTCACAAATAACTGTGACATATTGATTTGCCATGATATATTGATAAGTATGTCTCTGTGTAAGAAGAGGTAGTTCCCCAAACACTTTAGTAGCTTCTATCCATTAAAATCTTAGATTCAGTCTAGAAGGTACCTCAGAGGTCTTCTAGTACAACTCTTCCATTGTATAGATGACGAAACTGTGGCCCAGGCCTGCTGTGCTTTGAACCCAGTTCCTCTGACTCCAGAGCCAATACTTTTTTCCACTAATACCCGCTTCTAAAGCCCAAAAAGTATTCATCAAAGTTAACTTTTAAAATATCCATATCACTTTCTGTAGCCATAAACATAGAGATATTTGCAATATAATCTTCAAGCATGAAGGGTAGCTTTGTCTTATATGAATGAGAATATGTAAGTTGAGGTTCATACCAAATTACTTTCAGAATTAAAAAAAAATTTCAATGCATATATCTTTTCATTTACATATAGAGGCAATTAATTGAAAATTTAAGTAGCTTTTTTTTTTATCTTATTCTCTCATTGATTCCTGGGCTGAATATACATGATTGAGCTGAACTGAACTCAATTGACTTGGATCTTGCAACTGATAATTTCTAGCAAAAATGGTATTCATGGTTCTTGGATAAATTTACACTTATGATTTAATTTTCTCAATGAAATCATAAGAGTCAAGAATTCATTTGACTTGTTATAGTTACAAAAATTCTGATATTGCTATAAGAATTAATATGGAGGAAGGAAAAAAAGACATGTAATGCTTTTGTCCACTTTGTGCCAAAACAGCTGAACAGTGAAAATTTCAGGCAAACATCCAGTGACTTTGTCTTCCCAATGAAAAATACTTATGATACTATTGTTCTTCTTATTTGAAATGTAGGAACCAACAAATGTGTGCATGTACGAAGGTGACTGAGAAGACTAATGTGTTGATGCTAAAGCAGAACTTGTTTTGAGGGATTAGTTAACCTTGTCTGTGCCTTTTGTTTGCTGATCCCTCTTTCCACTTTATCACCAGTATGAGATCTTTGCACAATAGCAAAACCATTTGCCAGGATTACCTGGTGGCAGCTATAGTTTCTTAGCCTCCTATCATCATATGTTATTCTTTGATATCTCCAATTATCAAAATGCCTAAAAAGGGCAAATATCTACATGGTGCCTATGAGCCACAGCCATTTTATTAACTGGGAAAATTTATGGTTTCAGAATGAAATGCTATCAGCATGATGCCCAGTTAAACAGAACAATAGTGGATTTATTTTAATATACATAGTTGACAAGTACTTTAACATGATGTACTAAAGATGGTCATGGGCATTATGTCTGGCTACATTCCAGTAAGAGAAACCAAATTCAGACTGTTCATAGTCATGTCAGGCAGATGCCCCAAGCATGCATGATTCTTTTATGGTGAAGTAATTTAATAAAATTAAGAAAAAGAATAAATGCTCATAAGTATGGGGAAATGCATAATTGCTTTTAGAATCTAGAATCAATATTTACTAGTGAAAATTCTCAAAGTCATTTAAGCAACTGTTGTTCCTCCTAAGCCAGATAAATATGTCAAGCCTCAGCCATGTGTGGGCTGTCAGAGAGCCCCAGGTGATCAGCACTCATGCTTCTGAGAACATTGGTGAATCTCTTACAAAATCCTCCCCAGTCTCCCTTTTCCCTCACTTCTGCATCTTATACAAACATAATGACATTTTTACTGGAAAAAAAAAAGAAAAAAAAAAGAAACAGGGTCCAGGGAAAATGCAAAGAAGGTCATTTTTCTCTCGTTTCTGCTTCCTTATCCTTGACTCTATGAAGCAATAGTTAATGGCACAAAGTGCAATGAGTTTCTTTCCTTTGAAATGATAGTGTTATGGGAGCAGTGTTGATGTTTTCAGAAATTGATCATTATGCTTTGCCTTGAGGAATACCTTTCAGAGATTGTGCATATAGTTTATCCATTCTCCCTTGCCTTCTCCCATCTGTGCAAGTTACCAAAATTCTGATAATTTTCTTATTGCTATTATAATTCAGTCTTCTGGCAATAGAGTGCCAACCTTAAAGCCTGAAAGACAAAGATATGAGACCTACTTTTAATTAGTACTGCCTGTATGAACTTATAAGTTTTCTTCAACTAAAAAAGAATCCTAGTTGTCCTAGTGTCCTAGTGTCCTAATACCCACAGGTACTCTCAGAAAAATAAATAAGAATCATTTATTTGACCCTAAAAAGTAGCTTAGGATGAAAACATATACAAAAGCAAAAATCCTTCCCCATCTTTTTTGGTTCTTATATGTTTCATCTTTCTAAATGAAACACTTTTAGATCATCTGAAGTTGTTCTGTTAATGCAATAAAGAATTGCTGGATGGCCTTTAATATTAAGATAATTCAGGATTAATACCCTCTGTTGTAAATAGCACCTTGTTTTGTAGTAGAGAAAGGAAAGCACAAGAGTGCACAGGAAAGCCCTCAAAAATGTCTTAGATTGAATTGAAAATTTGGAATGAATTGGTGTGCCTGTGTCTTAGAGCATTTTGTATAACAAATAAGTCGGTCTAATCAATCAATCAATCAATCAGTTTATGATAAGCCAGGCACTATGGTGGGTGCTAGGGACACAATACAATAAATAAAACAGAATCCTATAGGTAAGCAATGTTTTTGTTTGCAATCAAGAGCTCCCCATCATTGGATTTTCTTTAATACATACACATAATTTCATAAAGTCATCTATCTGCCTTCAATTTATTTCTACTCTCATTCTCAAATTTCATTGCTTCTCTGATAATGTTAGTATGTTGAGAATCATAGTGGATATGGCACCATTGGATGTGGTTCACATATGAACTACATCCTTTTATCTGCCAGCCTGCAAGCCACTTTGTCAGTTACTATACGTGAAGATGTGAGGTGGTCAAATTCTAACTAAAATTATTCTTATTATAGTAAGTAATTATAATGCATAATTATGTAACATATAACAACAATAATAATGTAATAAGGAATTATAATGTAATTATAAAACACTATAATATAACATAATTATAAGTAATCATAAAATTTACTAGAATTTCTAGATATTGGCACATTTTGAGATTTTTATGCTGTAAGGCTAGAATGAGGGATAAAGCATAAAGATAATTGAGTTAATTTTTCACCCCTTCATTTGAACATATTGATGTTACATGTAAATAGCCTCTCTTGGAAAAGCCAATGTACTTTCTGGTCAGCTTTCCAATAGAGATTTCCCAAATTGGCATATGAGTTTTCACTGCAGTAAATTATTTTGATGCTTTTGGAATATAAATGTGGAAGAAAAATTTTATAATTTTATAATCAAAATATCTTTTTTTTTTTTTGCCAGTGAGTTGTTTGAATAGAACTTGAGGAATGAAGGATCATGTCACTGTCCTCTGGATACTTCAGTGAATCAGTTTTCTCACTAAAATTTGTATCCTCTCTAATAATCATAATCAGAATCCCTTCATGTCTTCTTATAATTCATACTTTTCTTCCACACAAAGTCCAAATGACATTTTTTGGGCCATAATCTTTACCTTTAGATGACTAGTTGAGTATAAAAATGTTACTTCCTGCAGCATATAATTTGTTAAAGGCTGCTTGTTCTTTTATCACACATTCATCAAAAATGCCCTTAATTTATAGATCATTCTCATAAATATTTTGTGTAGATGAGAAAATAAGGATATGGACCATTATTTGTTGATATTTTTTGTCACTATTTTTGGGGTAAAAATAAAGTCTATAATTTTTTCCCCCTAAGAATATAGCACCCTACCATCTTTCAGGTATGCTGGGAATCTGCCCTTTAGTACCTTCAAAACTGTATTACCTCTTGCAAAGGCTATCTCTTTTCAAATTTAGTAAAATCTAGCTCTTCTTCTTATTTATATTTTTTTTATTTTAGTTTTGATTGGAGTTGTTATTCAGTAGTTGCCCTACTGGGTAAAACTGAATTCTTAATGAAATTGTTTATACCTTCTTAATAAATCAAAGTCACTCATATATTAACAAATAGGAAAACAGGGTCTATATAATAGCTCTCTGGGTATCTGCTAGGTTGAGATAATACTTTAATGGCCAAATTTAAATATCCTCTCATAAAATACAAACTGGAGAAGGGCATCAATTTAAGGATTGTCTGTGGGTCATTTACATTAGACTGATTTTAACAGGTGGACAACATCTTCATTTCAGTATATGATTTGTAGAGAAAAAAGAGGGAGAGAGTGAGGGTACAAAGATACGTGCTTACTTCAAGAAAGAGGAAAAAAATTAAAGAAAAGTAGCTAAACTAGATTCTGCATTACTGTTTCCAATTCTTCATGCCGGGTGTCAGGGACCACGATGTCTGAGCCCTAATGCAGTAGCTTTACTATCATTGATGTTGAAAAGAATCTTTTATAGAGGTCTTGACAGATATTTTCCATTTTTTAATGGAAGCCTGGCACAACCCCTCTTAATTCTAATGCCTTTCCTCTGGTATTTCCTATATATTTTGCATGTAGATTATTTGTATTTCTTTGCTTGTCTCCCCCACTAGATTGTAAACTCCTTGAGGGCAGGGACTGTCTTTTGCCTTTTCTTTTTATCCCTAGTACTTATCACAGTGCCTGGCATGTAGTAGGCACTTAATGATGTTTATTGACTGATTAATTAGTCGATTGATTACCAATACAATTTCCAGTGACTCTGGAAGATTGAAAGAACCATGATCCTCTTCTTCCTATTCTTCCTTCCTTCCCTTTTTCTTTGCTTGCTTGCTCCCTTCCTCCTTTCTTTTCACTTACACAGATCCATCAGATTTGGGTCTTATATTTCATAACCCTTTTCTTCTTTCTCCTTTGAATTCTTAATCATTAGTAGAACACTGAAATGAAATAAGTTTCTCAGTTTTCATAAACAGGCCTTTACAGAGTAGTATTGATGGGATTGGGATCTGGGACCCAGAAAGGAAAAGCCCTGGTCTTTCCCAGATGGCCAAATCTCTGGGGTTCTCCTCAGGCTATAATCCCATCAACTGGACTTTCACTGTGGCTACACCCAATCTCCCCTCCATTGTCTTACCTCCCTATGTATGCCCCCTCCCCCACCATTTCCCACCCTTAATCCTAGCTAAGCTCCATTCTCCCTTGGCAGGAGGTCCAGGTTCCAGAACTTCTGTTCACCCCAGCTTACTGGCCACTCCTAGGTCCCTCTCACAGTGTTTCTGTATATAAGGTCCACCTTGTCTCCATTAAGATGCTTAGATTCTTATAATCTAGCCACTGCTTAGATTCTTATGATCTATCCAATAAGGTGGATGTTCTAATAAACCTTGTCTTTGGCTGAAAGAAGGCTTGGGTCAAATTCTTTCAGACAGGATGCGTGTGTTGTGATTTTGGGGTCCCAGGACCCCTGAACTCCTAAACCGCATCAGAACCATAAATGATTTTGAAATTTTGCAAGCTTATAAACTATGTATACGTGTATCCATTTTAGCTAGAAGGACAAAAAAGCCCATTTTAAAAATCAAACCAAGTGATTTTTAAAAATTGTTGTTTTTGATGTTGTTAACTATCCTCTGCACTTCCATTATTGTAGCTATTAGACAAGACTAGGTTTTTTTTTGTTTTAATTAGATTTAGGCTAACATTTTTAGCTTTGACATAAATCTGCTTTTCTGTTTGTGACCTTTTGATGGTTGTCTCAATTAAAAAGGGGTTGGGAGGGGAAAGCCTAGGGCATAAAGAAAAATCAATTGTGATGTGATTTTCTTACTCTACTTTCCCTTGCTTTAGGTTTGTGCATTGGGTTTCTCATAAAAATTAGCAAAACCTCTGGCATTAACCAGTTTGCATTTACATAAGAGTTAAAATTATCAAGCACTGAATTATTATTTTTCTAAATAAACATATTTAAGTATAGTGTTTACTCAATTAGATTTAGTGACTTGAGTAATTGTAGCTGTTACAGAACACTTTTGTACAACTTTATTCTAATCAAGTGACTTGCTGAAATGAAGAAGCCTGTATTCCCAGAAATTTTCTCAGATGGAAAGGAATTGAAAACAGAGGTAGTCCTCTGGTAGCCCTTCTTTAGGATATATAGAATCACAGAATTTAAAGCTAGGAAAGAACGTGAAAGAATCTCTAGCCCAAGCCTGCTGTTTGAGAGATGAGCATACTGAGTGTACAATTCATTCTTCAGGAATGAATTACCCTTATAAGGCCACATTTAATTACACAAATTCAACAATATATTCAGGAGAGATAAGGAGGAGGGAGAAAGACAGAGGAAAGAGGCAGAGAAAGAGACAGAAAAAGACAGAGATTGAGAGACAGAGACAGAAGGAGACACAGCGACAGGGAAAGAGAGAATGAGAGAGATAGAACATTTTAAATTCTGTGAATGATTCTAATGTGGTGTGGGGTTGCTAGGAACCCTGAAATGTCAGAGTAAAGGGCAGTGTCCACATGGAATGAATTCATTCACTCAAACCTTCTTTCAGTCAAAGAAACAAGGTTTATTGTAGGCCAATAGTGCCTTCAAGATTCTTAGTGAATTTACAACTTAATGGGGACCAGACTTATATACAAAAAAGGAACAGTGAAAAGATCTGGATGGGTTTAAGGAGTGGCAAATAGCCTGGGGTGGGCCAGGTGCAACTGTAAAAAGAGTTAAGTGGTCTGGGGTTGGTCAAGAGCCACTGTGAAAGGACTGTCAAGTATGTAGGTGGGCTGAGATGGGCAGATGCCTCCATTGAGATGCCAGTGATTTGGGGAGCAGAAATGTGTGGGAAAATTCAGGGACTGGGTTGCTTTCAAAGACATCATCTTTTCGTTTTAGGGGTCCAGATCCCATCACCCCATCAATTCAACTTGCCGTTCTACTAAGTGTTACAGAGAGAGCATGAAATCGAAGACCTGAATCTTCTGTGCCTCTCACACTGTGACTCTTTCATTGCATTGAGTGTAGTTTTAGAATCTCCTTTCATACTCACAGACCATTTCTCATTCTTCTTAGGCTAGTAGATTTAATGAGAACAGCTTCAATTTTTCTTTAAGCATTCCTGTTGTAGACCACCCTTCCTGTGATCCCTTTGCTTTCTTTATGTTGTGTCTCAGTGCATCAGGAAGAATCAGTAAACAACCACCACAACAGCAGCAACAATCCCTTACACTCCATTGTTTCTATAGTAACTGTTCTTAGCTCCATCCATTCTGACACAGACCTTAGCCTGTTTCCAGCTTTAACTGTTTCACGATATTTTTCTGTACTCCATATTCTATTTAAGGGATTTTCATGGATAATTTGCCTTATACCCTGACTTTAGAACCAAACCCTTGAATAAGGGACTTCCCTGAACTCTTATTGTTTGTACTTGGATTAATTCTAACACCAAGAAAAGGAAATCTGGGTTTTTATTCTGATAGCACAGTATGGTGATAGTTTTGTAGTGACATAGAATATAGTGTAATGGAAAGATTACCAGGTCAAGACACCTGGATTTCAAATCTGTCACTGACCTTGACTAGCTGCCTGAACAGATCATTTTTACCTCTGAACCTCAATCTCCTTGTGTGTAAAAAGGTGGATCACAATGTTGGACAACCAATCATATAGGTTTGCTGTGAGAACAGAGTTCTGTAAACCTTAATGGGCTATAGAAATAGAACTTATTCCCTAGGTCTATGAACATGAGCAGGCTATTTGCTAAAGAGGGGGCAGCACACTCAGAGTCAGGAAATTGGTGGTGCTTTCATAGCACCTGCTATGGAGTTGGTCTTTTTCTCCTCCTAAATACTGTAAAGTCTGTTATGCAGGTGGTATCCTTATTCCCTAACACCAACACTATAACACAATTCTTTTGCATTAATTGAATTCTGCCTTTGTTTCTGCCCTTTTCAGTTATGGACCTTCTTTTGGGATGGGGGTCAGGGATACCTCCACACCAAAAATTCACTTTTTGCATGCACACACACACACACACACACACACACACACACACACATCTATACACACATAATACGTAAAAATGCATATGCATGTACACACACATATATAGATATATATATGCACACAGGTATACACACATACGTGTATATACACACATATACTTTTATACACATACGTGTACCTATGTTTACACACACATTTATATATAATTTTATATAAGCATATACACATGCGTGCATATATATGTACATGCACACATTTGTGTACATACATGTGCATGTACGCACATATAAATATACACACATACATAGATATGTACACACACACACATACACATATGCTTTTCTTCCTAAAATCTGACTGAGTGACAATTGGGAATTTCACACATTTGTGGTAGTGGTTTGCACTTGTAGTGTGCTTCCCTGATATGAATATTGCCTATTGCAGCTGGTCTTTTTCCTGTATGATATCCCCCTGCTTTTTCAAGTACCACGTGATGCTAGCAAAGCTGTACTTTAACTGTAGCTCTATTATAGCTCTTCTCCTTCACCTGGGCAAAGATCTAATGTATTTCATCATCAGACTCCTGTGAAAATATACAATGAAAGTAGGGGATCTGGTTAGTGCCCTGAGGCAAAGGACTACTAACTCATCCCAAAAGATTGCTTTTTGATTAAGGGGCTCTTGCTCTAAGGTGCTCAGCCCTTCTCACAGCTAATATGAACTGCTATTCTTGGCTCTGTGACCTAACTTGAGCTCCTGTTCTTTAAAGAAACAGCAATTATATTAAGGAATCCCAAGGAGGTGTAGACTTCCCTAAAACTCTCAAAGAGAATTCCATAAGCAGTTGGAAGTCTGTATTGGAAAGAGCTGGTCAGAGATGCTTCAGGGTAGTTTTTGTGGAAAACATTTCACAAGTAAATAAGACCAAGTCAGAAATCACTCCTGCTTGAAGAAAATGGATTATAAAATAATCAAAACTTAGACAAGGAGTAATAACGGGTTTATTATTAATACAAAGTGATATCCTTTGTTTTACAAAAAGGCTCATTGCAGGCTTTCTTAAATTTCAAATACCCTGGTGTATTTTAAATTAGATTTTATTTCCAAAGTTAAGTTGGTATTCAAACTTTCAGTACCACAGCTACTATGTGATTTGAGGCACATCTAAGTTTATTCTCAAATCCTATATTTTAAAAAGCAATACATACCAATGTTAAAGTTCAGTCTTAACACACCCTCTTAGAGTGTTAAAAGATTATTTTTTTCCTCCTCATTTTATTTTCCAAAAGAGTTAAAAGAGTTTGTTTTAGAGAGCTTGCACTTTTAAAATTTATTTTGTTGTTGCTGCTGCCTGTGTGTGTGTGTATGTTGAGGGAGGAAAGGTAAAAAAGGAAAACATCTGTTTACTCTTTAAGCCCTTAGTCTTAGAGTTTGACTATAACCCTGATATCACAGATCTATAATGGCTGCTCTCACCCCATTGCTGGTTACTTTTCAAGGGTGTTAGACTTGGAGTCAGAAAGACCTAAATTCAAATGCTACCTCTGACCATGGGAAAATCCCTCAACCTTTCTAAGCCTCAGTTTCTTTGTCTGTAAAATGGGGATAGTACCTGCCTCACAGGATTGGTGTGCTTGAATGTATGCAAAGACTTTATGAACTTTTATGCATTATATAAACATAGACAATGATAATGACCAATGATAATGATGGTGATGATAAAGTTTTGTTGCACCTCGGAAAAATGCCACATCTGAATGTCAACTCCATTTTGGAGCACCAACAAATGATGAATGAAATGAAAAAAAAAATCTCTTAATGGTTGTGCCTATTGTATTATTAATAAGGGATACATTTGTACAGTTTTATAGGTCAGATTATTTTTGTGTTTAGAATGTTTGGAAGAAAGAGAAAAAAATGTTTAACAGGACAAATGAAAGGGAGTGTCATATATGACTGTATAAATTACCTTTAAGTCTTGACTATCTTTCACAATTAAGTGGTGTAGTGGATAGAATATTGAATCTGGAGACAGGGAAATATGAATTGAAATCCAGCCTCTGACACTTACTGGCTGTTTAATCCTGGACAAGTCACTTAACCACTGTCTGTCACAGTTTCCTCAACTGTTGACCAGGGATCATCTTAATATTTACTCCTTAACAGAAGTTGTGAGTTATCTCAAAATGAGTTATCTCAAATGAGATAATAGGTAAATCTCTTAGCACAATGGTTGGTCCTTAGTAGGTTCTTAATAAATGCTTGTTCTCTTCCCCCATCCCTTTCCTTCACTACATTAATTACCAATCCTACCATTTCTCCTTTATAATGGGTGCTGTTTACTGTCCTCTTGCTTGGAAAGGAGAAGACCCTAAATAATATGTCCTTGGGTAAGAATCTTAGTGGTTTAAATTTCATGTCAGATTTTTCTTGGGAATAGTTTTTGTGAAGAGGTTTGTATGTGGTTTTAGCTCAGCATTATATTCCTTGATGCTGCTCAAACAGGGTTTGAGATCCAGCAGACCAGACATAGTGTGGGTGTGCTGAATGTATACTGACACTAATCCTCTGGATTTCTTTTGTTCCTGTCATTTAATAAACTCTGAGAGCTTTATGTTGCAGCTTTTGATGATTCTATGGATGTCAAGGAAAGACAATTCCATCCCTGAGAATACAGATCTCAGTGATAGGTAGGAAGAAGAGAGGAGAAACTGTTACCAAATGAATGATTTGAAATTCTGTATACGCATATTTCCCATAGGACATACAAGATGTATTAAATTTTGGTAAGAAATCATAGGGGATTGATTATTTTTGGGAGATTTAAATTAATTGAGCTTATGGGTTTTTATTGTTGTTATTCTTGTTTAAATCATGCTCTATTTGTTTTACTTAATATTGTAAACATATTTTGAGATGGTAAACATTGCTTTTGGAGCAGGAAAAAAATGACAATTCAAATCAATAAACACATATGTGAAGGCAAGAAAGTGGACATATCACTATATAGTGTCATTTTAACTCATTCTCAAGAACACTATATGACACCTGGAGCTTTTCCTTGTGGACAAAGGGGAGTGAGTGGCTGAGGGATGATCAGTAATCCAGTTCAGGCTTACCAGCTCTCGATTTCTTTTGACTCATTCCCTCCACTCTAGTGATATCCAGTGTCCTATCTCTCAAGCAATTTATCTTCTCACTAGAGAAACTTTTGAGGAGGAAGTATCCTCAGACCCCATGGATTGATGATTCACATACCCTCTCCTTGAACCCAGCCCAACTTTCTGTCTGTGACTTTTCATTATATCCATTTTTTAGTATTCAAAACCAGAAAGAAAATGGAAAATAAAAACACAACAATACAAGAGAAAGAAGCTAATTTCAGTCTTAGGAAGTGATCAAGATTTGTTTGTTTCTGGTATTTTTATGGTGACAATGTTATCTTGATCTGTGAGCTCTTGGAGATCAAGAGTGTTTGGTTCCTGTAGAACCTGTAGAAACATGACTCCATGTTAGTTCCCATCCACTTCTAAACTTGTAGTGTTTATAGCCCAAACCTTTCTTGTCCCCCTTTATGTATTATCTTTCTCCTTAGAAAGTAAGTTGCTTGAGAGGAGGGATTGTCTTGTTCCTTGTATTCATATTCCCACCACTTGGTACTGTATCTGGCACACAGTAAGTATATAATAAGTTCTTTTTTTCACTAATTCTTCCATCATTTATTCATGTATTCAAAGACCTATCCTGTGGTGGCTGTTTCCATCCAAATACACTGCAGTCACTGAAAGACTAAGTGAGGACATTATTGCAAAAATGTGCCTAAATATTTACCAACAAATGATGAATCAAATGAAAAAAAAATAAATTCCTTCAGTTATACCTATTGTATTGTAAACAAAGGATATATTTATAAAATTGGGAGAGTGTTGAAGTTGAATTTGAGTTTAAATCCTGACTGTGCTCATTCCTACCTGACTTTGGATAAATCACATAACCTTTCTGGACCTCATTTTCCTTATTTGTAAGATGAGGGAGAAGAAGGGAATGGACTGAATTAGATACCCTTAAGATTCCTTCTTGAAGGAACCCATGATCCAGTTATAACATGGCTTACAACTGACTTACATTAATGACCGATGGCAAACTTGTAAAAATGTAATACCTATATATTTTAAAAAAGTTAAGGAATCAATATTCTGTGAGG